GAGCCATGTTTCAGGTTTTTTTTTTTTTCTTCTCCTGCAAGAAATGAGAGCTGCTTCTTGCTGTCAAACTACATTAGCACTCTGGAATGGGGGACAGTCCTTTGATGATGCCCCAGAGACCACATGTAGGGAAGAGTGAGTGTTCTGAGGGTGTTACTTGAGTTGTCTCAATAACCCTGAGATGTTGTTGGATTCGTTGATCCAGGGTTGAGATAATCTCCAAGTTCTACTGGTTGACCAAGTCCACCTTAGTGCATCCACACACCCAGGAACATGTTGCAAACTTGACCAGGAGAATTGTCCAACCTGTTTTGCTTTCTATCCTCTGATGAGACAGTTGCTATCCTATTCTGGTCTAGATGAGCTGGCTGTCATGTTCCGCCTGCATCTGACATGCTGTCCACTGCTCAGGCATCAGCAACTGAGCAGGCCCAGTCCCAGCACACGCACTCCAAGGTGGAACCACACATTCTGTGATCTTCCCTGTGGCTCAGGGTCTGAGTGCAGCGATCTAGTTGGGGAGTTCCCCAAGAAATCTCACTTAGGGTGACCTCAGACTTGACTCTTATGTGCCAGCCAAGGTACCTACTAGTCGATATAGCTTGTTAGTTCTACTAAACCCCATATCTCACACATACCAATGGGTGCTACAGCTCAGCCCAGCCAGCCCACCACAGACCCAGTTCTCATGCATACCCGTGGATGCCATGGCCTACTTGGGGTGACTCCCAAGATCTCCCACCAAGTCTGCTCCCAGCTCCAGTTTTTGCTCATGCCACCTTCTGCTGTGGCGTACCCCTGCCCAGCCCACATCCCATCTGGTTTTCATGTGCTGGGGTCTATGCAGTGGGTGTGGATAAAACGAAGGTATGAAGAGAACAGTGCTCCTGTTGTCAAGGTCGCAAGGTGCATAGCAAGGCCTGGTGGATATCTCTCCAAAAACCTTGACACAGGCTCACCTCCTTTTGCATGGATACTCAACCACCCCATTAAGAGTTCTGTAATCTAATGAGGCATCGTCATTTGCCCTTGTGAGATGATGTTTGCAGCTGATGTGAACTTGAGGGTTAATGTTGCTGCCAATGCCTTGGTGAGTGGGCCTTTACCACACAGGAGTATAATTAAACCCATGCCATCTTTGGACACCTTATTGTGTCCCTACCCATTGCCCTGGAATCTGGTGGAGACATGTAGCTAGCCTTCTGGGAAAGGGCCTGGTAAGTATCCTAAAAATTAATGAAGGTGAGCTGAAACTGCTATGGTGATAAATACAGATATTGTGACCTTAAAGGCTAGCCTATCTTTGCAATTTCTTTGGAGCATTGGGAATATATCTGTTTTAGCTGCTTATATAAGTTTTGACTAGAGGAACTAAAAGATGTTTTTACTAATATTGTAGAGATATGCTTTTAATTATTATTTAATTGCTTATGGGGTTATAGAGCCTGTAGCTATAGGGGGACTTAATATTTCAAACTTTGTCTTGGATTTTTACATTTTTTTCCTTGTAACATATTTCTCCCATTAAGTGATGGGCAAATTGTGGAAATAGAAATGTAGTAGGAATGTATTACTGATTAGTAGGTAATCACATGTGCCTTGGCCTTGGAGTCCTGGCTGTCACCCAGTGGCTACTACTGAAGAATGAATAATGGCTTGCTTTGAAGAAAATGATTATGGTAACTTACAGAATTATCTTTAAGAACACCTGGTTGACCATGAAGTAAAAAGTAAAATAATCAAACATCTGTGCATACTCACTTAGTTATGAAGTAAAAATAGAACAATCAAATGATTGTGCAGAGGCTTGTAATGTTGTCTGAGTAAATAAAAAGGACAGCTTCTTCTTGAGCTATTACAAGAGGGCACCAAGTGACAGTGTCCACGTCTTTTCTTATCGCCAACTCCCCACACCCTTCTTGAGCTTCAAACTCAGCTGGAGCTGGCCTCTGGCACTCATGCACACCAGCAGCAGTGTGGCTTAGCTTAGCCTGACTTACCCCAGACCTAACCCTCAAGTATGCGGACAGGTGCCACCGTCTTGTCCAGCCTGGCCTGCTCCCAGCCCTGGTTCTCATGCTTACCAGTGGTGAGTAAAGCCTACCAGGCTCGTTCCCACATTCAGCCTATCCTCAAGCCCTGCCAAAACCCTGCACCTGGATGGTGCAGCCTTGCCTTGTCTTGCCTGGCCTACCCCCAGCCTGGCTCTTGTACTCCCCAGAGGAAGCTCCATGCTGGTAGGAGAATTCCCCACCTTTCCCTACCAGGCTTGCTCCCAGCTTTGGTTCACATGCATGCCAGCAGGGACAGTGGTCTTGCTTGATACAATCTGCCCTCAGTTCTGATACTTGCATGAGCCAGTGGGTGCTGCAGCCTAGTCCCACCTGGCCTTCTCCCAGGCCCAGCTCCTGCAAGAGTCAGATGTGTTGTTAGGTGATTTCTGTGCTCCAGTCTGACTTGGCCCAAGCTCTCCAAGTAAACTGGAGGGTGCTGAAGTCCCACAGAGGTGAGCCCTCAATCTCCTTATAGAATATGCTACAGATCTGGTTCTCTCGCATTCTGGTGGGTTCTGTAGCCTAGCCTGACTTGGCCCACCCCTGCTCTTACACTCCAGCTTTTGCAAGTGCCGGGGGGATGGTAGATGATGCTATTTAGCCCAGCCCAGATCTCCGACATGGGTGGGTAGCTTGGCCTGACCCATACATGCCATCTGGTTTCCCTCCTCTGAACTGCTCTGTCTCAGCTCTCTTCCCTATTTGTGAGTGCAGTGGCCCAGTGTGTGGAAGATCCCAGAAATAATTCCTTCCCTGTCAAACACACCCTCTGACACTCTCATTCCAACATGTCCCCAGGACCATTCCCAGGCAATCTGCAGGTTCTGCCTGTACCCACCTGGGGGCCAAGGTGGTGTGTCCTGGCCCAGAGTCTCCTCCAAACCTTCTCCATTTCAAAAAACAGAATGAGCAACTACGCTGGCATACTGATACAGTTAACAAAAATTTGGCCTTCACCAGGCCCAGATTGTCTGCCAGCCATTGGCTACCTTTCTCCTGGTAGCGTAACACTTGTCTAGGTGCAAGGCAACCTACGTAGTTGCCCTCAGCTGGGGGCAGCATTATTGTGGAATGCAAATGCCTGTCAATATTCAATTTGATTATTTGTATCATGGCAAATATAATGATACCATCCAGAAATGAAATCATAAAGTTACAGCTCTGTGCAATGATAATATAACATTAAGTGAAGGGGGAAAAGAGTCTGATATGTCTCTATGCAAACTCAACCTGTTATGAGAGAGGTAAAAGGTTATTGTTGGGGGAGACTTTATTGGGGTTCTGCTGGGATACTAAAAGTGTCACACATTTTAATCTGGGAAGTGTTCAAACGGGTAGTGTGTGTATGTGTGTGTGTAAATATTTTTGAGCTGTGCATATGTTTATACATCTTACTTTGTGCTTTTTGTAATGTGGCACTAAGAAGCTAGAATAGATTCCTGTCCCTGCTTCATTTTGACAACATAAACACAGCATAACCAGTATAGAAACTAATGAAAATCTAATTTGTGAAATGAATGAGAACATGGTTGAAAGGGTGAGACAGGGGGAGGAACTTCCTTGAATGTAACTTTTCATTTGGTTCTTATTTTTAAATTCCATTGTTCTAGTATTACAGATTAAATTATAACAATAACATGAACAGTTTCTGGGAGACAGCAACAGGGACGAGGGATTTCATCTGCTTTTCTACAGATTCCAGTGGCCCTTGGGCTTTGGGTGGGGTCATGTGACTAGAACTGGCACTAAGGGAGTGAAGTCAAAGCTGCTGGGTTGACTTCAAGAGGAGTTAGTTTCACTCCAGGTGAGGTGTCCTGGTCACACGCGGTTCCCAGCCAGAATGGTGGAGCCAAAGGCTGGAGGCTTCCTGGATTTTCCAGCCACAGAACAGAGCATCTCACACTGAAGTTTTTCAAATGTGAGTGTTGGCTCGTTGCCTCAGGTCTCCGCATGGTCTCGTCTACTCTATCCCATCCATACGGTCAAGGTATAAAATCAAGAGGGTTGCTTGGGGTGGGGGGAAGAGATAGAGTGGCTAGGATGGTTGGGGTTGGGAAGAGATAAAGCTTTTCTGTGGTCTTGAGAAGAGATAGAAAGGCACATTTATGGAATACTAGAGTTTGAAGAAATTGGGTAGTATTATCCCTTTTGTTTTAAGATAAAGAAACTAGGACCAGGCAGATGGAAAATTAGATTGGGAGAAGACACACGAAGAGTTACTGGTAGAGACAGGATTGTGACTGCCAATTCTGAGGCTCCAGGAATGGTCTCTGGGCTGAGTCCTCTCTTGAGAGGCTCAACGTTTGTAGAATCTTTTGCGAAACTATAAATGTCCTTCAGTTTCCTCATGAACTTTCCAGATGCGTACAGTAACTACTGACCCCATCAACTATTTGCTCCCCAATTCTGATATCACAATGCAATTCTCTTCTTATTTCCTCTTCACTTTCCTTATGGAAAAACACTGAAATAGAATGAATCAGAAAACATTTTTTGAACACAAAGAAGGAAAAACATAAAATATTCCTGGTAAAACTTTCACTCTCTTTCTTTGATTCTTTTTCTAGGGGGACAAAAACCAATCTTCTCCCATCTGTAAGGTCAAGAATAAGAAACAAATATCCTGGCTTTGTTTTCAACGAATGTCTAGAGGGCCCAGGCCATGTTGCCACTGACTTAATCCCCCGGTTTGTAAAATATCGTTTTGTTTTGGCATTGGTCAAGCCATCAGTTCCCTGCCTCCCACCCCAACCTGATTGTCCAGCAGGGGTTTGTGTAAGCATCCCGCTGCGTCTTCCTCAGGCTCATGTTAGGAATAGCTGGTCCCTACCTCTCATCTCTCCATTTCTAAGCTAGGAAGAGCCTTCTTACTTCATCTTCCATCACCATTCTGACCTCAGACATCAAAAGGGGTCATTGTCACATCACCACTGGTCAGCCAATCAGGGGCCACCACCTTCAATGACTTTCATGTCCTGTAGGAGTTCTCAGGCAGTGTCAATGGAAGGAGGGTGTCAAGAAAGAGGCCTGGTTTAAGTCCAAAAATGATCATCACAACATGGATTGTATATATCCTCACACGGAAAGGTGCAGGGCTCCCCTTTCCACCAAAGACCAGTTCGGTAAGCAGCCATGTGGGATTGCTCCTTACAGATCTGCTCACACATGGCCCTAGGCAGTCTGGTAGGAGCTCCACAACATACAACATTGACTAGGAGTGGCGGAGGGAGGGAGGGAGCGGATAAGAATCTAGATTTTCTGAGGTCATCAACTTACCTGTTTGTTCCAGGATATTGAAGTTGTGGAAAGCGAGGCAGTATCTGTAGTACAACATTGGTTGAAAAAAGTGAGTATGATTTCTCCCTGGCTCAGAGTAGCTCAAGGTCTAGAGAGCCGGCGTTGGTGGGTATAGGGGTCTGGACTCCTGTCTCCGTGGAACTGGGAAACTGTTGCCAAATGCTTTGTCTAATTTTCCCTAGTGTCTTTGAGGACAATGAGGCTATGTCCCAGTAAGACATGAATCATTGCTATCACAAAACCCATATACTTCTCAAGCATCTGGGACTAAGGGATTCAGCCCAAGGTTTTCCAGGAAAACCTTGCTGGGTAAACGTGTGTGGCACGTGATTTTGTGATGGAGAAGAAGAAAAGAGAAGGAGACGAGAAGGTCTTGGGATTGAAGGCAGTATAACATTTCAGAGGGAAATTCCTCACCTTGCAGACAGAAGAGGAGGCTTCCCAGGGAATAAAGGAGAAGATGTCCACCAACTCAGCCCCTGTCCATGGCCAAGATGTGCATGTCACCAGAGACGTGGTAACGGAGTTGGAGAGCATCCTCGTGGGAGAGGGAGCAAGGGCTAGGAGAGAGGCGGGATGGGTCCCTGTCAGGGACTCTGGGCCAGGGAGGTTCCTGATGCAGCATCCACAGGAACCCCGTTGGAATCTCGTAGGTGAAGCACCATCTCTCAAAGTCTGATCTGTCAGCCAATCACAGTCAAGAGGTCCTGGAGGAGAGAACGCGAATTCAGTTCATTCGGTGGAGGTAAGGTGCCTCAGCCACGCACACCCAAGGCGTCCTTCTGCAAAGGCTCCCTGTCTGCCGACAGAGGAATTTCTCAGCTTTGCCTTGGGGCTTTAGGGAATATTTTTGCTATGCTGAAAGCTCAGCTATTTTCTGCAATTCTCACTTACATGAGGGGTTGGAAAACAAGGTTTTTCTCTTAAATGCTTCTGAACATCTTTCAGACTTTTGTTAGTTTTGCACTTGAATTGTTGAGGCGTGGCTGCACTTCTAAGAGCTTAAAGAAAATAAGCCATCCCCCGTGTCCTTCCTGGTGCCTATGCTTGCTGGGGCTCCGGGATGGTGGGCTGTGGCTGGTCTCTGGCAGAACCATACAAGCGCCCTCTCCTCTCCATCCTCTCCCTGCCCTCTCCCCACCCTGCGGCCAGCCTTGCTCTCCCTCTGGGAAAGAATCTGTGCCTCATGTTTGCCTCAGCATAGTGGGTTCTCCTGTGTTCACCTTCTCCAGTGGCTTTTGAACTTCAGCAGGTGTGCAGTCATGACTGAACTGAAAGGCTAACGCACTGCAGAGTGCGAGCCGAGTCCATGCATGAGCTAGACTGGTGTCCAGGCTGCTCTGTGTCGGAGAGGCCTGCACGCTGGACCACTCAGCAATGCATTCCTTGACTTGGATGATGTGTGTAACCTTCAGACCTGTTTTAACTCTTGACTTCGGGACACATGTAGTTTGAACCTTGGGATACAAATCAGTTTTTTAAAAAAAAACTTTTTTTCATGATTTGATTCCATATTTCTCCATTCTGGACTTTCTATAGAAAATTTAAAGCAACAAACTGCCTGACTTCTGCTATGTCCAAACCACAAGTTTGGGTTATGTCCTCTTAGTTTTCAGAAAGTACGCAGCCAGGGAATATAAAAGGGGGCTTCCTAAGGTTCATGGACCAAAAACCATAACGTTAGTGGCAGTGTCACTGCTAAGCTGCTGCTGCAGACGCCTGCTTCTCAGAGCTGAGCCCCTCAGTGGGTGCAGCTGGGCTCCTGACCCCAGCGTCCTGGCAATGATGGCTCCAGTTGATGCATCGCTGCCAACCAGAACGATGTGAGAGACTCACACTGTGCTCTGGGCTCTGGGCTTTGGTCTAGCCCAACCCTGGCTGTTGCAGGCATTTGGAGACAGGACCAATGGATGGAGGTCTCTTTTTCCTGTCTCCATCTCAAAATCATTTTTTTTTAAATAATAGTCTATTTATTTGAAAAGCAGAGAGAGAGATTGAGAGAGAGAGAGAGAGATCTTACATGCACTGATTCACGCTGCGGTGGTCACTATGGCCAGCCAGGACTGAACCAGGTTGAAGTCAAGAGTCAGGACCTTCATTAGAGTCCTCTGTATGGGTGGCCAGGGCCTAACCACTTGGGTCATTATCCGCCGCTTTTCCCAGGCCACAAACGGAAAGCTGGATCAGGAGTGGAGCAGCCAGGACACAAACCTGTGCTCACATGGGGTGGGGTGCCAGAGCCACAGAGCGGAAGAGGAATAGCCTTTAATGCCTCCATGCCAGCACCTTAGATATCAAATTTTTTAAAATATGCATCTGAGGTGCCAGCGTGGTGGCATGCCGGGCTAATCCTCACCTCTAGTGTGTGACACGTAACAGAGACTGCAAGGAGCTGCCAAGTCCTTTTGACAATGCTTGAGATGCCTCTGGAGGTGTGTGACGTGACACTGATCCTGAGGTTGGACAGGAACTCAGCAGCTGTGTCTTACAAGCCATACAGACCTGGTAATGTTGGAGAAGTGCTCACCTGGTCTATTTCCTGCTTGCTCCCTGCTCAGCATCCCAGGGTAGTTTCAGGAGTACTTCATAAAACACCTTTGTGCCCATGACCCAAGAAAGGCAAGGGTCCGTTTTAAAGATTCACAGTGATGGGGCCAGAGCCACTGCCCATCGGCTTGCAGGCCTAGCAGTTTCACCACGGATGAAAAAGAACCCCAGGACCCCAATGTTTGAATGGCATTTTGCAGCCACACCCGAATCTTCCAAGTGCCCAGTGAGTTGACGAATGATGTCATGCAGGAACGGATTGAACAGGTGAGACGCAGGTAAGCAGTCTGGAACGAAGGAAGACGGGTGGAGGGGCTCCTGGTATCCTCACACAACGATCAGGAGCAGCAACTCCCAGGCCTGCTGTCCTCGTCCGTCTGTGCCCCACTTTCTTGGGGGCTCTGTCAGCCCTACGTGGAACCTCCAGCCCACACCAGCTGAATGCCTCTTCTCTGACAACAGCCAAGGCACAAGTTCTGAGCCCCTCGTGCGGACGTCTGGGTAAGCCCTGCCCCCTGCCCCAGGCACACTCCCTTCCACTCCGGCCTCTCCTCTGTTCCCTGTAGCATCTCCCATCTCACCTGCGACTCGACTCAGGACCCCAGTTTCAGATCTTCCTATTCGGAATGCTAAGATCAACAAGGTGAGAGCACAACAGGAGCAGGGGGGCAGATGCAGTCCTCTCTCATGCAGAGACAAAAGATGAACCTGACCCTGAGGCTTAGCCTTCCCCTAATGGCAATCAGAGCCCTGCAGCTGGGGCCCTGGGCACTTGCAGTTTCTCCTCTCTTAGATGTCTTGAAGGCCACGCCTTTCAGGTTCGCTTGCATCGGAAAGCAGCTGTATGGCTAACTGGCTATGGTGGAGCCTTCCACTGTGCATTTCTCAAAGTTTCCAGGCGTTGCTTTGAGGCACAAGACTGGGCAGCTAGGGGAATCTCTCTTGGGCTTTGGACCTGCCAGAAGTTAAGAAATGAACCTTGAATCAGAGCTGGCCTCGTTGCTTGTGCCTGGGTTCTACTGATCCTAACGATGGCTGTGTAGGGGGCTCCAGGGGTGCAAGGTCAATGGCAGTGACACTGCCACAGGTGTCTCTTTTCAGGGGGTCTCTTTAGGGCATCTTCTTGGGGTAAATGCCATCTCAGTTGTTGGCTAATAGTTCAAGGATGTTTCCAAGGTTTGGCCAACAGTCTGACACACCACCACTGCCTTTTCCTTCACGGGTTTCTGCTTTCTGGACCAAGTTCTGTGGATGTGCGGGAGCAGCAGGGCCGGAGGGAGCCATCACATCTCCCAGATGTGTCCCCTGGGCATCTGTCTGCTTTCTAGGGTCAAGTCCTGCAGGGTCAAGAGCAGCCTGTGTCAGACGACCATCCATCTCCTGCTTGACCCGACGAAGGACTGATGGGATGTGGGAGGTTCCAGCGGGCGAGCCCCTCATTGTGACAGCGGCAACACTGGAATCTCCTCTCTGAACTGCTAATAAAGAGACGTGCTATTTAACCACCCACCTGATGCTGGTGGGAGTACTTTTCCATCCATTTATTTGTTAGATGCTGGGTGCCTCAAGGGGCTGGGAACGTTGCAGGTGAGATGGACAGCAGGTGGGCCTGGTGACAAAGGCAACACAGGTGTTCCTGGGCTGAGCTTGGAGGACTTCCTGAGGGAAGCATGGTTGTTCTGTTGCAAACACTGATTTTGTTTTCATTTATTTCTTCTTCAATGTCTTGGCCTTTCTCTGTGTGTACGTTTCCTCTATCACCCTTTTCTCTGAAGAACTCCTAATTTTTCTTGCAAGGTTTGTCTGTTAGTGACAGCTTCCCTTACTTTTTTTTTTTTTTAAGATTTATTTTTATTACAAAGTCAGACAGAGAGGAGGAGAGACAGAGAGGAATATCTTGCATCTGATGATTCACTCCCCAAATGACCGCAATGGCCAGTGCTGTGATGATCCAAAGCTGGGAACCAGGAGCCTCTTCTGGGTCTCCCACGTGGGTGCAGGGTCCCAAAGCTTTGGGCCGTCCTCGACTGCTTTCCCAGGCCACAAGCAGGGAGCTGGATGGGAAGTGGAGCTGCTGGGATTAGAACAGGCGCCCTTATGGGATCCGGGCTTGTTCAAGGTAAGGACTTTAGCTGCTAGGCCACACCTCCGGGTCCAAGTTTTGTCCTTTCACTCTGACGTTACACAGTTTTTGGAGAGAAGTCAGATGTGATTCTTATTTTGGATCTTCTATTTTCCTCTCTAATTCTCTTAAGAGCTTTTAAGTTTGTCTTTCGTTTTCTGCGTTTCAATGTGGTATGAGGAGGTGTAGATTTTTTTCCCTTTATTACCTCATTTTTGGCTTTTTGTTTTCCTTTTGGCATTCCCTTGTAAGTATGTTGTACTTTTTGCAATTGACCCAGAGTTCTTAGAAATTCAGTTCCTCTTTTCCCACTCTTTTTCTGTCTGGGCTTCTGTTCTCATTTCTTGAAAGTCACAAAGTATTCCCTTGGTTCTTCTGGTCTACCTGCAGTCCCTCGCAGACATTCTTCATTTCGGACACAGCATTTTTGATGTTTAGTGCTTTCTTTTGAGTCTTCCTTGCAGTGTCCACTTCTCTGGCCACATGCATGTTACTCCCTTTTACCCAGTGGAGTCCTTGGCTGTCATCACTGTTGTACATGCCCAGGCTGATCGTTGCAGTAGCCCAGCCCTATCGAGTCTGATGCTGAGGCTTGCTCCCTCCCCTAAGACTACACACGCTGTCTTCTAGAACGCCTCTTCGTTTTTTTTTTTTTTTTTTTTTTATGAAAGGTAGCAGTGATGTTTCAGGGAAAGGAACTGCAGGAAAACAGGGCTTGAGCACATGCCTGGATAGGAATTAAGCTATGTTTATAGTGTGCTACAGTTGTGTCCTCTGACTCGGGCCAGTGAGATAGCTCAACTGGTTTATTCTCTGCCTGCAAGTGCCAGCATCCCATATAGCTGCCGGTTCATTTCCTAGTTATACCACTTCCGATCCAGCTCCCTGTTTGTAGGCTGGGAAAGCAGTAGAGGATGGCCTGAAGCTTTGGGACCCTGTACCTTCACGGGAGAGCAGGAAGAAGCTCCTGGCTCCTGGCTTTGGATTGGCTCAGCTTTGGCCATTGTAGCCACTTAGTGAGTCAGCAGATGTAATATTTGTTTTTCTGTCTCTTTCTCTTTGTAAATCTACCTTTTCCATAAAAATATTTAAATATTCAAAACGCTTCCTCTGATGTCCTTGCTTTCCCCTGCTGTCCTCAGGCCTCCCTGGCAACTCCTTCTTAAACAGAGTCTGAGCTTTGTTATGTAGGGGCCCTAGAAGAGTGGTGCTGCCAAGGGGTCAAGTGTCTGTACTGCAGGCAGGTCAGAAGTGAGACTGTGTACCCTATCTGAGAGAAGACTGGAAGGCTGGAGAGAAAGGGACTGGAGTTACATATTTAGGCTCCCAATAAGCAGAACACCAAGCTACATACATATTTATTTGTTTTAACATTTGAAAGTGAGAGGTAGAGTTAGAGTATGAGAGAAGGGGGTGGGGAGAGAGATCATCTGTCCACTGGCTCACCCCTCATGTGGCTGCAATGGCAGGCAGGAGAGAGCTTCATTTGGGTGTCTCACATGGCCGCAGGGGCCCAAGTACTTGGGCATCCACTGCTTTCCCAGGCCATCAGCAAGGAGCTGGACCAGGAGCAGAGCAGCAAGGACGTGAAGCGGTGCCCACATGGATGCCAGCGTTGCGTGTGAAGGGCTTACCTGCAACTCCAGAGCTCCGACTCTCAGACATAGTTGAAGATGGTTACTTTCCCCTCTGCCTTGGGAAAAGTGAGTTTTCTCTGCCTTTTGGTGTGAGGACTCAGCAGGGCTTCTGAAGGTGAGACTTCTGGGTCCGCAGCTTGTCTGGCACGGCATGGCGACAGCGTGTGTGTGGTCAGGTATCCTGCCCTGTGCTTGGCTCTGGGGCATCTGGTCTGGTGGCCCTGACTCTTGGTGGCCCGCTCTCTGCATCTCCGATTTTCAGGCCAGCAGTGTGCCCCGCGAGCTCAGCTGTCTGAGTGATACAGGACAGTTGTCGCGTTTTCGCTTTTTCTTACTGTGAAGTTGGTACTGATGACGTGCAACCTCTTTGCTTAGGACCTCATTCAGCATCTGCTAGAATAAGTCCTGTTCACCGAGCGGAGACTGTGTGCTCGGATCTACCTGAGCACATAAAATGTATTCTGGTGCTCAATTCCAGAAGCGCTTTGATGCTAATGACAGTAGAGACAGCACGAGGCCCGGGGCCTACGCCGCTCAGCTAACCTGGCCCGGCCCTAAGGTCTTCTTCCTCAGACTCTGCATCCTGATATGTATGGGTCCTGAGCTAGGCCTGGGGAGTGCAGCCAGACATAAGATCCACGCTGTGCCGATTTGTTTCCTAAGGAAGCTTCTACTTTGACAAAGAAGATGGACTGAAAACAGTGTGGACTCGCATTTCACTGCTCCAAAGGAGAAATACTGAACATGAGGGGAGCTTGCGGGTAACAGAAGAAAAGCAAGAGGCACTTCGACGTTAAAGCATGGTTCCAGGGGCTGGCACTCCGGCACAGCACGTTAAGCTTCTCCCCGAGGGGCTGGAATCCCGTGTGAGTGCTGGGTGGAGCCCTGCCCACTCCACCTCTGGCCCGCCTCCGTGTTGATGCACTTGGGAAAGCAACAGAGGATGGATCAGGTGCTTGGGCCCTTATCCCTTTGTGTGGAAGGTCCAGCAGAAGTTCCTAGCTTCAAAGCAGTCCAGCTCTGGGTATTGTGGCTATTTGGGGAGTAAACCTGCAGCCGTAAAATCTCTCTGGTTCTAAACTCTGCTTTTTGAATGAATGAATGAATGGAAACAGCACGAGTTCCAGTTTACAAGACGAGGCACAGGAAGTTCAGAGCAGCTGAGTAACTTTCCTGCTGCTACACACTGGCACATGGCACAGCCAGAGTTGAGTCCACGTGAGCGCATGTGGAGGCCAGCACCTGACCCTTGCCCTGGAGGGCTCTGCAGGATGGAGATGGCGATGGTGGGGCCTGGCCCATCTGGCTCACTGTGCGAGTAGGCAGGACACCTGCTCTCCTTGTTCAGCCCAGAGGGCGCTGGGCAAAGGGGGCGGGTGTGGGTGGGGCCCTTGGAAGGACTTGACCATGGCTGGCAGTGGTGTGCCTGTTAGATGCGAGGGATGTCCCCAAGTGGGGGTGAGGACGAGGGGTCAGGAGCCGGCTTGGGAGTGGCGCTGGTGACTACACAGCGAGTCTTGGATGCTGAGTGGCATTTTTGGACAATGCAGTGGCAGCTGACCCAGACGGGGAGCGTTCATCAGGTCGGTGCTGGGAGACTGCCCACTGTGTGTGTGTGTGTGTGTGTGTGTGTGTGTGTGTGTTGAGGGGGGGTGGGAAGCGGGGCACAGTCACCTGGCCTTGGCTGGCAGGTGCGACCTGTCTGCTGGCGCTGGCGGGAGGAGGCAGGCAGAGAAGAGGTGCGCAGAGTCGTCCTCAGGCTGCTCCGGACAGCTGGCTGGAGTCCTTCCCTGCTCCTGGGCAGCAGCGGGACCTTCGCTCTCCACTCCAGGGAGCTCAGGCGGTTTCACCATACGCCACCAGGTGGCGCCATTTCCTCATAAGACATCCTTTCTGAAGGTGACCTGGTTGGCTGGAGTCAGCTGTGGCCTGAAGTGGATGTTAGAAGAGGTATTGGGAAAATGTAAATTGGTGAGCATCCTTCAGAGATGAGGTTTGGTTAGAAAGAGGATCCATGAGCTAAGCGCTGAATCACTCAGGGACCCTTCATTTAGGGGCGCACTGTTGGCCAACACGTGGTGCTACGTCCGTTCAGACAGGAGAGAATTTAGCTCATGATGCTAAAGGGACTGATGCACGCAGCTGGAACGGCCTCGGCAGTGGTGTAGAGATGGCAACGGTTTTTCTCTGCCCCAGACCAAAAGAGACTTCCAGGGCTTGGGGACTTTGGTAGCCTTGGGCAGTAGAGCAGGGGACTTCTGTATCAGGGGCACCCTGACATGGTCCTGGGACAGGGGAAGGGGCTGGGTAGAAGAGGCAAGAGCTGGGCAGGTGCACCAGAGGTCAGGCCCGGTTTCTCAGGGGGAGAGGGGAGCCCAGCATCTGTTGGAGGTGCAGGCCAGGGGTGGGGCTGGCTGGAAGGGCCAGGCTTTCTTCTGGGGACAAGGAGACTCCTCTGATGCTCTCATAACTGTGACTCCTCCCAACCTGGGGCAGAAATGAATGCACAGCGTGGCTCACCTGTTTTGTCGTGTGTCCGATTGACCCCAGAAGAGGAGTTTGGGAACAAGCATACCTCCTTTACCTGTGTTACAGTGGGACAGAGCCACGGTAAATTAACAGAAAATCACTGGCAAATCTGGGGCCAGCGAGCTGTGACCAGCCATTTGTGTAGTTAAATGGAGCTGAAAGAGCTACTACAAGGGTTGTGGGTCAAGGATCCATGGGGAAGGGTGAGATGTGGGGG